CACCCGTCGGTAGAAATACCGCGAGAACCAGGCATTGACCCGTCACTGTATGCCGGGATACCGCAATCCCCCAAGCTCGTCAAGCCACCCCCATCGCAGACCAGCAGCGGCCGCTCGACGCCAGTCCCGGTGAAGGATCGGCAAAAACTCGGTCTTGAGGGTGGTGCCAGGAAGCCAGACGCACGACAAGCCATGGTTGAGAACATTGGTGTACTGTCAAGGATGCCAACGTTCATGGCTGAACTCTTTGTCAATTACGATTGCGACGCTGATCGAGCGGACCTATGCGAAGACATGATTGGCCTTCTCTCGAGAAATGCTTTGCCGGACTCTGCAACTTGGAGCACGACGAGCGTGCCACCGCTTTGCTTGGATGCACTGCTCAGATACATCCAGTTCATCGCCGAAAGGTTGGACGAACCCCCGGTTGTCGATGGCTATCCCGACGCTACGGAGCTACGGGAACTGAGACGGAAGAAGAAGATCATTATCAAGGGTACCAGCAAGTTCAACGAGAACCCCAAGGGCGGCCTTGCCTATCTCGAGGCCCAGGGAATCATCTCCGACCTCAAGGATCCAGTCGCGGTCGCCAAGTTCCTCAAGGGAACATCGCGCGTGTCCAAAAAGGTCCTCGGCGAGTATCTCTCCAAGAAGGGAAACGAGGCCGTACTAGAGGCGTTCATGGGCCACTTCGACTTTTCAGAGAAGCGAGTGGACGAGGCGCTCAGAGGACTGTTGGAGACATTCAGATTGCCTGGCGAGTCAGCATTGATTGAGAGAATCGTTGTCTGTTTCGCAGATAAGTACTGCTTGAAGGCGAAACCAACCGAGGTCGCCAACGCGGATGCTGTCTATGTCCTGACCTACGCCATCATCATGCTCAACACGGATCAGCACAACCCCAACCTCAAGAGTCAAAAGCGTATGACCGTGGACGATTTTGCACGAAACTTGCGAGGCGTCAATGATGGCCAAAATTTTGCGCCAGAGTATCTTCAGGATATTTTTGACAACATTAGAACCAACGAGATCATCCTGCCTGATGAGCATGACAACAAGCATGCGTTTGACTATGCTTGGCGCGAGTTGCTCGTCAAGTCGGAATCGGTGCGTCCGCTGGTTCTGTGCGAGACGAACATCTACGATGCCGACATGTTCGCCTCAACGTGGCGGCCTATCGTGTCCACCCTTTCTTACGTATTCATGTCGGCTACGGACGATGCAGTCTTTGCGAGGATCGTCACTGGCTTTGACGAATGCGCTCGTATTGCGGCCAAGTATAAAAACACGGAGGCTCTCGATCAGATCATCTACGCACTGAGCCACATGACAACCTTGGCTACTGACATACCCTTCAACACCAACTTGAATACCGAGGTCCAAGCTGGCGAAAGCAGTGTCATGGTCAGCGAGCTGGCAGTGAAACTTGGAAGAGACTTCAGGGCGCAACTGGCGACTCTGGTACTTTTCCGGGTTGTCACTGGCAGTGAGGAGTTAATTCAGGATGGTTGGAAACATGTATGTCAACATCCTCCTGGGTCATCATGGCGGAAAAACTAACGAAATCTAGATCACCCGCATATGGCTCAACCTCTTTGTCAACTCCCTGGTCCCTCCCTTCTTTGCGGATTCACCAGTTCTGGACATTGGTCCGATCCCGCTGCACACACCTTCTCAGGTAATCGATCGTGCTGCAAAGACTGTCGATACGGGCTTCTTTTCTGCCTTTACTAGCTACATTTCCAGCTACGCAGCAGACGATCCACCAGAACCCTCGGACGAGGAACTGGAAAGTACCCTCTGCACCGTCGACTGTGTCAACTCATGTCATATGGGCAACGTCTTTGCCAACATCTCGTAAGTCAGCCTGCTCCTGGCCAGTCCAGCTACTAATCAGAGTCGCGTAGAAAACTCTCCCCTCAAGACCTAGAGCCGTTGATTGACTCCCTCCTCAACGCACTACCTGAAGATAACAACCCAACGGTGATCGTTGTCAAGTCGGACAATGTACCCGCAGCAACAATGAACGGCCAAAAGCCCGTGCAACCAGGAGCTGTGTACGACCCTGCCATGGCCTACATCCTTGAGTTCAGCACAGTCCTGGCTCTTCGCGATCAGGACACTGTCCAACTTGTAGCAAAGAGGGTCATCGAAGCACTGCAGGTCGTACTGCGAGATGCTGGACGGTACCACTACATTGTTGTCTCGAGGGCGACCTTTTATCTTCTCAAGCTACTCCGAGTCAGCTATGTATGCATGCACTTACCCGCTGAAAGCGTTTTCTTTTCCTCATTAACTGGTTTACAGGCTCATGATTACATCAACGTCCCGGTACTGTTGCACACAATCTCGAGCTTCCCCAAGGAAGCACTGGCGAGAACTTCGACCATGGTGCTCCAGGGCTTAAGACTGTGCATTGACGAACCCAGCCCACTACGCAACGAGATCATGACTTCCCCGGACTTCTGGGCAATCATGCGAGCACTTACCGGACGTCCAGATTCTGCACCTCTCGTGTTTGACATTCTCGAGTTAGGTTGCGGAGGTACACCACCTGCTATCATTGCCGACAACTACGAGGCGGCCATCTCTCTCTTCGGCGACTTCGCGTCCGGGGCAGGTCGGATTGTCCTTGCAGAGCGCAAGCTAGATGCCCAGCAGCGTAAGGCCCGAGAGGGGACACACGACAAGACGACGTGAGTGATTCCCGATGCCTCTGCCATATTGCAAGTTACTAACGGCCAGCAGTGTCAATGAGGCAATCTCACGAGGTACCAAGGCGGTCAACAGTATTCACAATATGACAGCGCGTATACCTTTCTTGATGAAGCAGTCCCATCTTGAGAGCAACGAAGGTAATGCTCTTCACCGCTGGGAAATGAGTAACAACGACTAACGCAATGTTACAGCATGGTCCGCTTACTGGCTCCCTATCTTCCAAGCACTAACAACGCAATGTACAAACCCATGCCGCGATGTTCGCCTCCAGGCGTTCACGTCGCTGCAGCGATCTCTACTCTCGCCTGAGCTCACTGACAGTGACCACAAGGAGTGGACCGCCATATTTGGCGAGGTCCTGTTCCCTCTCATTCACAAACTCCTTAAGCCTGAAGTCTTTTCATCGGACCGTGACGGCATGAGCGAGATGCGTGTTCAAGCTGCGTCCCTGCTGTGCAAAGTGTTCCTTCAGTATCTCGTGCTCCTCTCAGAGTGGGACGGAATGCTGGATCTGTGGGTCAAGATTATTGACATCATGGATCGGTTGATGAATAGCGGTCAAGGCGATAGCCTGGTACGTTTATGTGGAGAGTCCTGGACCTTACAGAAGAGATTGCTAACAGTACGTAGGAGGAGGCAGTTCGGGAGAACCTCAAAAACGTGGTGCTTTTCATGGCAAGCAGCGGCTTCTTGGTGTCCCCCAGACAAGACGCTTCGAAGGAAAAGTTATGGAACGAGACCTGGAAACGGATCGACCGTTTCCTTCCAGAACTGAAGAGTGACCTGGCCTTGGAAGAACCAAGTAGTGGAGAAGAGCCGGCGCCAGCGGCTGGTACGACTGCCTAGAGATAACTCATTGTAAGGCGCCTGAGTGTGAATGCCGATAGTTGAGATGATTGTTTACGTGTACATATATATGGCAACTGGGGGCAGCATGGGTCAGGTATTCATGATAGTCAAGATGCTGTGCCATATCGGCATTAGATACAATTCACCCACGGGATACCATCGAGAGTGCTTTGCGTGAGTGGAAGGAGAAGCTGAGACGCAGTAGAGCTACGCATGTCATCGTGGCCAAGTGCAGTGTATCACCAAGACCCAGTGTAAAATAGAAAGCCATTCTTTATTCCAATCAGAGGCGTCGATGACACGAGTTCGTTCCCAACACTTGCAAGCTCCAGAACGCTGCGGGGAAAGAGTTCTGGGCAGCACATCTCGGCAACCCGTTGGGAGCTGAAAGTGGCCCTCTTTCACACACGCAATGTGCGAGTGATGGCACAGATGGAGGACATGCTATCAAAAATCACCAACAAATGTTAGGTTTCAATGGTTTTTTTGTCTCCCCAAAAAAATAGTTCACGTCGTCCTGTTACGATGATAACGGGGAGACCGGAACAACGGTGTAAAGTCTTTAGAAAAGACAGCAAGCTGGCGGCAATCTGGATTATGGAAGCTTTGTTTAGATCTACGGCTTGTATCTATGAATAAAATCTGGCTCAGGCTTTCTTTCGTAGGCACACGCCTAAGGGGCAGATTCATTCAGCTAGTCCAGGTAAATCATAGTACTTAGAGGTTCCCCGATGTGTCCTCATAAGTTTTGCACCATATTGTAACCTGAAGACTTCAAACCAAGTGCTTTCTGACATATCAGCACTAGAGGAGGCTTGCAAGATACTAGTAATGGGCTACACAGTTATGCTCCTCTGTAAGCTCGTATCCAGCATCTTCGAGCCATGCGATACCTTGAACAATATGAGCATGCTGTTCCAGTGCAAAACAAAACAACGCGAAGACATACCTGCATCCACTAGCCTGTTAAGATTAGCTTTGGATGAAGTCGTTTTGCCACCATAGACGAGCCTGCCATTGTCAGCGTTGAACAGTGAATAACGCAGCTCAACATTTACTTACTTCTGATTCTCATATGGAGTGTAGTCGTGCTGAGACTGAGAGAAACCAGTATCCCACAGTCTGATGTGGATATAGACTGCCTTAAACTTCTTGACTCCAAACCTAGCCGTTTTGCCAACGACAAGGCCAACATGACTGCAGCCGTGTGCCGAGTTCGCCCACTGCACGAGAGGTACCGAGGACTGAGCCGGCCCAAGAGCGCAGTTCATGAAATAGTAGTATGTTCCGGAACTTAGAGACCTGCCTGCAGCCCGTGCTGCCTCTTCGTAGGCGATTGCCGTGGTTTCAAACAGGCTGGTCAGACTTACACGAGAGTTGATAAATCTCACGATAGATTCGCCGTTCTCTGCAGCTACTACCTTCCCAAGGTCATGGGAGATGCTGAGCAGCATCGTCATCACTGGCTTACTGCAGTGGTATGGTTTGCCTTCCAAAAATGCCCGGATGAAGCTAGAAGCTTTTCCCCTCGTGGCATCAGCTATTCCACAAGCCCCGGCCAGTTCGACACGAAGCGAACAACTACGCTTTATGTCGCCAAAGACGGCACCGGGCCCGCGACACATCCTCTCGTCACCTATGATGCTGGTCAAATTCTCTTTCCCTCTGACGTCGGACCCAGCGGTGCTTTGAGTCCTCTCGTTGGCTGGCACCGATTGCCACAGCGAACGAAAGACCAGTTCAACGGCATCGAATACGAGCACACCAAGGTGCCCTTCAGCGATGGGAACTTTCAAGCCTACCTAGATGCAGCTTACAACGAGGCCTTCTACGACGGTGTCTCAACGGCAATGGATTGTGGATCTTTAGATCCCCAGCAGTCCATGATCGACCCAGACTTGGAGGACATGCCTCCTGCCGAACCTACAGCACCACCTTCCTAGGTGCCCAGTGACGGCGCCCGTTTCCATCAAGATGTAGAGGTGAATCTCAATAGTCTTTGCCCAGCATTTGAAGATTAGGCGCGATGATTTTGAGAGGGACGAAATTGAGTTGCTTCGCTATATTGGACTTTGCAGAGCCCCTTTCAGAGAGAACCCTTGGAGGAAGTCAAAATACTATCCTCAGTCTCTTAATTCAGATAAAAATAAATTAGGTGTAGAGGCTAGCTAGGAGGTACCCAGGAAGAGATAGGGGAGAGAAATAGTGAATGTCATATTTTCGTATATTCACATCCTATGGCGAGCTTCCTGACTTCAGATTCGTAGTCAGCAGTAAACGAATTCGGCTGCTGAAAGCATCCTGTGGATTTTGCTGTAAGGTTTGGGGGCAAGCCTCTGGAGACTAGTGATCAGTCAAAGGCTCGTCAGGGGCTAGGCAGCGAAGGTTCTGTCTGCAAGACGGAGGTGACATGACTACGAAGTTGATTGCCGAATATCTACGGGATTCTGTCCTCGAGCCTAGCTTGAATTCATCTAATATACGAGCCCTAGCCATTCTCAGAACAATACCGTTCCTTGTTCTGGCAGGTTGCGTAATCCGAACACACGAGCTCCGCCAACGACTTTTGCTTCTAACCTGGAGACCAGGCTGATCAAGATACTTTAGGATTAAGCTTGAAGTACAAGGCCAAAAGTAACCCATTCTTTGCGAACGAGCAAAACTGGAGAAAAAGAGATCGTCTGCGTCAAAACATACAACACCAGGTATTCGCTGGTCGTCACCGACCCAACTACTAATCCGGCCCTCATTGGCTTATCTATGGGAGAGCGGACGGGATCCCGAGTTTTCCAATGGGTATGGTCGTATGTGACAGTCGTAAAGCAGATTGTGTCTATAGTCCCAAGACAGCAAGGTTACAGCCCAGCAAAAGAAGGCCGCGAGGTGTCCAACAGAGCTAGAGTAATGATCTCTAGTCTAGTACAACACCATGCATCTTCTCAGGTGCTGATCAATAGTCTACTTAGTAGGTAGTGTCGTTTTCGTGAAACACTAGTAGAGATTGCTCAATGATTGTGCAACAAGAATGAAGCGAAGCTATGATAGCTTGATGTTGAAGTTGAAAGCGTGAGGTTGCGCGCGTCACCGCGCAGGCCGTAAGGGTAGATCGGCCGTGCCCAAGGTAGGTACGCGCCTTAGGCAACCAGAACTTACCGCAACACTATGCACAAGCCAATTTCAGTCTGTCACTCGAGTTCAACACTTACATTTCCCTCTTCTTCCCGTTCATTTTTGTTTGGAGCTCGCCTACACAACCGTAGACATGGCTTCCGGTCTTCCTATCGCCACGTACGTGTCATTGCACTTCGACACGTCGGGCCGTTGGCTGACCTTTCGTGCCACAGGGTATACGTGCGAAACCTCGAGGAGCGCGCCAAAGTCGACCAGCTGAAGGATGCGCTGCTTCAGATCTTCTCCGATTACGGCAATGTAATTGACATTGTCGCCAAGACGAATCTCAAGGCCAAGGGCCAGGCTTTTGTCGTCTTTGACGATCCAGAGGCTGCGCGCAAGGCCATCGAGGAGATTCAGGGATTCGAGCTATTCGAGAAGCCTATGCAGCTGGCCCTGGCCCGGACGAGGAGCGACGCGACCGTCAAGTCGGTAGGCAACGACGACGAATTTGAGCTTCACAAGCGCCGCCGCTTGGCTGAAAAGGGTAATTCCATTTCGCCCTTCACACTGCCTTCTCTCGCTACTTTGAACTAGAACGGTTTGCTGACCCTGTCCTCTCATCACCAACAGACAAGAAGAAGGCATTCGAGGCTGCCGAGGAGCAGAAACGTCTCAAGAGACCTGGCCCTGGCGGTGCACCGGCAGCAGATGCCCGTCCTGCCAAGGCTGCTCGTGGAACTGGTCTCAAGTCCACAAATCCCTCTACCACAGCAGTCATTCCCGACGAATATCTGCCCCCGAACAAGATTCTCTTTGTACAGAACTTGCCCGACGACTACGATATCGAGGCTGTTACCAGTATCTTTGGCCGTTTCGAGGGTTTCCGTGAGGTCAGATTGGTGCCTGGGCGCCGCGGTATTGCCTTTGTAGAGTACGAGGGTGAGCAGGGTGCCATTACGGCGAAGGAGAACACGGCGGGCATGGTGCTGGGGGACACGCACACGATCAAGGTCACATACCAGCGCCAGTAAGACGGTTGATTGGGACGAAGGCAACAGCCTCAACTCTGTTTGCATGTAGGGAGGTAATAAATGTGTTCCGGCAGGGTACTAATGTTTACAACGAGTGCGTACCCAATGAAGGCTACCTAAGTCTAATAACACCGCACCCGACGCATGCTTGATCGCCACCTCTCAATCCGTGCCCCAAGGACAAGCTAGAAAATAACGTCGTTGTCTTCCTCCGCAGCGAGAAGGTCGCCGGGGCCTGACGTATCGCCCTTCTCTTCTGCTGCCCGTGCGGCCTTTTTGGCCTTGATCTCGGCGTCTGCGGCAGCAGTGTCTCTCTGTTTCTTTCCGGCAACCTGCAGTGCACTGTGAGAAATCGCCATCAAGATCTAACGGACCTCCACGTACCTTTTTAAGTCTGTAGAACTCCTCTCTGTCAAGTTCGTCCAGCTCCGAGTTAATGTCTGTAGTCAAAGTTAGATAGGTATCCCAAAGTGAGGCATACAACATACACTTGATGGTGTTTTCTGTCCTGGGAATAATAACGTGCTCGCTGGTGAGACGGTCAGTGGTGGATTGCCAAGATGATCTCGCAGGCATCTTACATGGCGTTTACTGCAAAATGTTAGTCAATCGCTAAGAAGTTCAACGTTTGATCGAATACATACCACGTCGATTAACGACCTTGATAACCTCATCCAAAATAACGAAAGCGGTCTTGGCGCTGTTAGTGCTTCTGCAGTGTTCAATGGAGACGCGCGGCGGCGTACCTGTAGACTGGCAAGTTCGACCAGAGCTTCAACAGCACGGGCATATGTCTCGCGACAACGCTGGACCTGCTGACCACCCTTGCCCAAGCCCGTGAGGCCGAAATCGTTGTTTCCTTCAGTTACGTAGCTCTCGAATGCCGGGAGTAAGACACCAGAAACGTTCTCCTGCTTGGTACGCACACGGAAGCGAGCTGACCGGGCCGACTCCTGGATCTGGTATCCGATATCACCGCCCACGGCGTAAGTGACCTCAGCCAAGGAGAAGGAAGCAATCTGCATAACGCGTCCCATCTTTCTCTTCGCCTCGTCGATACGTCTTGTAATTTCTGTTCAGGGCGCAGTCACATCGGTCAGCCTAGGTTCGTCTCGGACTGGAAGCGGCACTGCCAACCTCGGAATCGCCTGTATCATGGAACACGTCAGTGAATCAAATCATACTGCAAGATACAGTTCATTGCACACATACTTGGTCAAGGCCTCGCTCTTTCTTTTCAACAGACTGTGACCAGTTTCGGCGCCCTTGAGCTTGGCCTTCATGATACCCAGCGACTGGCGCGTGGGGAATACCGCTTCTCGGTCCTACACAGATGCATCGACATATTAGAAAGCTCCGTGGTCGACTCTAGATGATGTAGGAGGGCTTCGGCCTACAGGAGCACCCGACATGGTGTTGGATGATCGGAATGGGCGATGGTATAGGTTGGACTTGGAATTGAAAGGAGATCGGAGGGGAGGTTCGAGACGATTCGCACGGCAGCGAAGGGCGGAGGCAGTTGGGCGCAAGACGGTCGTCCACGATATAGTCGACAAGGAGGAGCTGGAGATGTTGTTAGGCGGCCTTTGGCTGCTGTTGCGTCAGTGCTCAGAGCCGGCTCAGCGATGGGACGCTAAGGTGGAAGTACCTACCTCAAGCGGCCCCCCAGAGATGGAGTCGGGTACCTGATGTACATAAGGTAGGTGGATCGCTGGCGATTAGCAGTCCACTGACAGGGTTGGAAATTAGTCTAGTCTAGTCTAGTATGGCCTGGACTAATACTAGGCTAGTCTAGTACGACCTAGACTAATACTAGGCTAGTCTAGTACAGCCTGGACTAATACTAAACTAGACTAGTATTAGTATACTAATTAGTATATATTAAAAAAAAGTGTTTATAAATTTATAAATAATAATTAATTATAAATATTGATATATATCAAAATAAAACTATTAAAAGCTTTTTTTTTATAGCTTTAAAAGCTTAAATATTATTATTTAAATAAAATATTCTTAAAATACTAGTTTTTATTGAATTTTTTAAGAATTTAAAAATTAAATTATAGATATTTTTTAATTAAATAGTTTTATTTATATTTACTATAGAAATATTTTTTATTATATTTTTTAGAATTTTTTTAGAATAAATTAAGACTAATATTTAAATTTCTAAAAATAGTAATAAAATTACTATGGATAGTATATTTTATACTAATAAGTATACTATTAGTATACTAATACTAGTCTAGTCTAGTACTAGCTGTACTAATACTAGTTTAGTATCTCAAAGGGTGGACTCATACTAGACTTACTAGTACTAGACTAGACTAATACTAAATACTAGTAGTATTTTTTCCAACCCTGTCCACTGATAAAGCTCAACAGTAGGCTGTCTTTATCCGCGCGTGAGCGTCTCACGGACGCTAAAGCGGCACGGCGCCTCCATTGCGATATGCTTGTATCAGTGGCTGGGACTGCCGCCCAACTTATCCCAATAGCCGAGCGCCATCCCAAAAATACAGGACGTGGCGCATGCGAGAAAAAGTACCTTGGTTGGTCGACCTTGCCAGACTGCATCGTAAAGGAACGATCTGTCGCCTAGTTCGCGCCATGGTCATCTTTTGAAATCGCGCCCCCGGAAGTTGCGAATTCGTCCCCAACGCGACCTGCACAAGGCGAAAAGGCGCTCTCTGCGCTCGAGCTGTCAGTCTCTTGGTTACTCATGGCCTTTGGACAAACGGCCTGAACCAAGATGCCTGCTCCCACGCTTCTCAACGGCTCTCAGAGGCGGCCGGAAC